GACTCGTTTTTGATTTGAGAAACTCTATACAAAAACATGTAATAGATATTAAAAATACAAATTGTTGTAAAGTATTATTATCTGTTTGCGGATTGTTGAATTTTTTGTTTTGTTTTCGTAGATTGATTCAAGAGATGAAGTTCGAACAAAAGAAGACGATGATTGGGCAGCTGCTTGACTTCATAATAGAGATGTTCGCGTCTCAAGGAAATACCTCCGATAATGCGAAATTGGTAACTATTTTATCGGATGGCAGAGGGATATTTTCTGAAGGAGTGGAAAATGTATCCACGGCCGTGAGGAAAGCGAAATTGTTGAATATTTTCCTTGTTTTCATCATAGTCGACAATCCCCTTAACAAGGTAATCTTTTTTAAATTCAAAATGCAATTTTTATCAATAGATATTATTTATTTTGCATGGAAATCGACAGTCTATTGATCAAAATAATTCTCATCAAATGTGAAATTCCATAAATAATTTCTTAAATAATTATTCACTCTGTCTTTTACAGGATTCAATACTGGACATAAGAATGCCAATTTTTGAAGGTGGTAAACTGTTGGGCATACGTTCTTACATGGACAGCTTCCCATTTCCGTTTTATATTATTCTTAGAGATTTGGATACTTTGCCTGCAGTACTGAGCGATGCTTTAAGGCAATGGTTCGAAATTGTTGGCAGGATCGATACGTGAAATATTATTTTATACATTCTGATTGCGCAATCACTAGACAAATAAACAATTATTTTCGTATTCTTGCGTTGATTTCACTTTTTCTTACTTCGTATTCAGCGACTGTATTGTTTTATGGTCACTAATCAGAATCTTACTATTATACAGGATGTTTCATACTTTTTTTCAAGATTTTAGGAGCAATGCTCTTGGACTCAGTGTTCTCGAGCATGAACACAAGTGAGAATAACAAAGAAATGTTATAGAAAGCTTATTTGTAAACACTTAGTTACAAAATTATAGACAAACATCAAATGTAGCCTGAATAACTTACGATTTTATTTAATAATCACAATTAAGGGAGCAGTCAACCGAAAAATGAGTTTCTATGATCTTTTCTTTCAATGTTACAACAGTTTAAAGAAATCCCTTAATTTCCGTTTTTTTTGGGGTCATTCCTGATGTTTAAACATCAGATTTTATGCATTTATAAAAAAACGGAATGTAGCAAAATTGTTAATGTTGCGTGTAATGTAAAAAACTATGCAAACGGTATATTTATTTATAAAACGAGCTACATTATTAGGATTAATTAATTCTATACATGATAATTTATGCGATCGAACCCGCAACGGGTCGTATTTTTTTTAATTTCGAAATCGGTATTTCAGGACTCTACTATTCGACTCGATCATCTGCACACTTTGTATATGAATGTGTATGTCAAAGGCTGCACCTGCACATGCCTCCAGTGTTTTCGATCATTTTTTATGATCGTACATCGACTAACTAATATTCTGTATCGAAAATTTACTTCTACTCGCGTTGTATAATTTATTTCGAAGTCGGGATGAGTCTAACAATAAAGTGTAGTAAATTACTAAACTCGGTTAATCATGTGTACAAAATGGGAGGTTATTATGCTTGTCGAAGCTTCATTACTGTCGAGGAGGCTAAAAACATAAAATGGTACAAGCCTGCGAGAGTGCCTCATATAGATCCTAGACAGACTGGTGATTTAGGATTAGAAGTAAACGTGAAACCTACTGACACCATACTTTACTATAAAAACTCCAAAGAGTTAGAGGAGTAAGTATGACCTTGATTTCTTATTATCTAAGCCTCTGTTATTATTACTTATTAGACTGCGAATATTTATGCAAACTCTTGTTTTTATGAATATGCCAGCCAACAATGTATTAAAACAAGCTATTAAAAAATGACTTTGTCAATGTTGCAGCGCAAGTGATATTGTGAAGAAGATGTTTACAGTAGAATACCGGGGGTTCAAGGAGTATAGGAACCTGAAGAGAGAGGAAATAATAAATCGCGTCAAAAGACACGTTTCCGACAGAGGCTCGGTGGAGGTCCAAATTGCTGCTATGACAAGCGAAATACAGGATTTACAAAAGTACATGGAAGTACACCCGACTGATACGAAGACCAAAGTGTTTCTTTCAGAGTTGATCGATAAAAGGAAGAAGTATCTAAAATTCCTACGCAATTGGGACTACAGGCGCTTCGAATGGGTTCTAGAAAATTTAAATCTGACCTATATAGGACCCCCGGAGTACGATACATTTTATCTTATTACCTATGCACATGACGACTTTTTTGTTCAGTTCGACAGGCGCCCACTGATTCGATGCTAGTACTCTCTCAAATTTATATTTGCCAAATTGAGTATTTGCCAATACTCTTTTTCGAATTCAATAATTGCCTCTTCGTAGATACATTTTATATTATACCATTTTTGCAAAACAAATAACATACTCTCTTTCAAATTAGGGTTGTATCAACCCTTACATAAGAACAAAGAAAAAGCATTTATTACTGCCTTTATATATGTGGGAATAGGTAACAAAATAATTAGCACTGGTGATTTCACAAGAAGATTTATTCAGATCAATTGCGTGCGTCCGTACACTCGAGAGACTTCCGCTCGAATGCCTTTGTCCCGTTGAACAGACGTCCAACGGCTCTCCCTTATCTCTTCTCAGAAGAATCGCTTTTCTAAAGAAGAACGTGTATAAACATTTCCCAAAAGGGCCATGTGGCCCGTCGCTAGGCCAGTCCGCCACATATATTTATATAAAAACATTTTTGAGACACAAGATTTCAAACAGCACGTAGCGACGTAGGACCAATTACGTGCGACCAACGAACTGCGCATGCGAGTGCTCGCATGGATCCACAGGTTTTTCAGAAGAAATTTTATATTCTGCACGTTTTAATAATGCATTACCCGAAATCAATTAATGCAAACGAATATCGGAAAAGTGCTTCAAAAGAAAAATTTGCATCAACACCCGACATAAATTAATTAAAATTGCATCAATACAATATATCCGAATACGACGATTGCACTGCACTCGGAAAGAGAATATTAATCGAAACGCTGTGGTATCGACAAAGTTCGCAGTAGTGCGGATTGTCGAGTTCACCATTTGCTGCACAAATCTGCTATGTACGCTTCTCTTCCTTCATTCAATTGTACAAACAAGAAAAAACAGTAACATTGTGGCAGCATATGGTTTTCACAGGCTTTTATATCAAATACCTTAACGGATACTATCGTTCGTTTCTTTTTAATTAATTGTATATCGATTTATGTTCTACCTTCGTTCATTTAATGTAAAATCAAGGACGAAGCTATGATCGCAAGAAGAATCATGTGCATAGGTCCTTATGCCGACAACAATGACTGATGCGATTATTCATTAATTTTTAATTAATTAATTATAGACGATACGGGCACGTTTCGAGGAAAGATTGTATTAGAAAGTTGACGCAGATTCACTGCGACAACATTGTTCAGAAGAAGCTAGACACCTATAAGGCCGAATTAAAAGAACAGCAGAGAGCGTTTTATATCGAGAAGGCTGAGAAATTGGCGAAGATCATGAAGGATGAGAAGGAAGTCGGTTTGCCAGTAACAGTAACGGAAGAAGAAATCGAAGCTGCGAGGAAGAAAGCAGAAGAATTGTTGAACGAAAATAAAGTTTAAATACGCTGTATTTTCATGTCTAATCCGCCTCGATTCTTTCTTAAAAAATAATATTAGAAATTTTATTTACACTGTCTTTAATTTGTAATTTGATTTTATAACGCCGGGAGCAAACGATAATTACTTAATAGGTATTAAGAAATTTAGATTCTAGAATTAAAGACCATTGCATGATTGAAAAAAAGTAGAAGACGAAATTTCATTTACACGGCCTGTCTTTAATTCTAAAGTCGATTTCGAAACGCTGGGGACAAATAATAATTAGTAGATATTAAGGATCTATTGCCTATACAGTCAATCTCAAAAGTTTATATACCTTAGAAAAACGCATTTCTTTTAATTAAAAAGAAATCAAACGTCGG